ATTATGTCGTAGTTCAATACCCACGTTCAATATGTGACATGCAGCTACCCCATGTTACGCAAACCAGAGTCTCTGTTTTCGGAGGTATTTTCAACCCTCTGGGAAAATGATAAATATTGGTCCTACAGTTTCAGGTGTTAGGACTTTTTTTGGGAAATTTCCTCTTCTTTTTGAATCTTTTTTCAAATTTGGAAAAAGTTAAATAGTTTTTGAGATATTTTCAAAAAACCAGTTGTTTATAACTTTTGCAATTTTTTAGCGGCTCTTGAATTTTTTCAAAAACCATCTACACGCTATTCCGAATCGAATTTTTCGGAGGCGGAGAAAAAAGTTTGACCCAAAAAGCACCTGTTAACTAGACTAATGAGAATCAACAAGTGAACGATATACCTGAACTGATACTTGCAACTAACAGTGACAGCCCTTCGCTGCCAAATGAGAGCATTATTGATAACCAACGTGGCACCTACAGAAAGCGTTCAACAACCTTTAAGTACAGATCCAGCACTCTGGCCAATGATACTACCAGACCCCGAAAGAATCTTTTTGGTAAGGCAAGGTCCACCTAAATCATTGTACAATTATAGATTTCCATACGATGAGACTGGTAGAAAATTTAGCCCTAATTATTATAAAAGAATTTTAAGTAACGGAGAGCAAATTTTAAGAGACTGGTTAGTGTACTCTGTCTCAAAAAAGCTTTTGCTGCAAAATTTGTGGCTGTGTACTTAGTTCCTTTTCAAAGGAGAGGTTTAAAAGTTGGAAGCATCTGAATCAAACTCTAAAAGATCACGAAATTTCTAAAAATTATATTCAGTCCCAAAAATCTTTTCTAGGACTGAACCTAAGATTAAAGTGTTGTAAAACTATAGATGCGGATTCCCAAAACTTATTAACGCTAAAATAAACCATTGGCAAGAAGTGCTTTTAAGATTCATAGCAATCACTAAAATGCTTGGTAAAAATTGTCTGGCTTTCCAAGGTACAAACGACAAGCTGTTTGAGCATAATAACGGTAACTTCTTAAAAATAGTTGAGCTGCTATCTGAATTTGATCCCATCATGGAAGAACACGTACGTAGGGTGCTTAAAAAAGAAGAAACGAAAGCTCACTATCTTGGGAAAAATATTCAAAACGAGATAAAAGACATGTTGCATCAAAGTGTGAAATCTTATATTATTAATGAAATAAAAAAAGCCAAATATTATTCAATAATTTTAGATTGCATTCCTGATATTTCTAAGGTGGAGCCAATGACTCAGGTATGTTTCAATCAATAAAACTGATTCTAATCAGGATGAGGTTGAAATTAAAATTAATGAAAGCTTTTTGGGTTTTCTTCCAGTTGAAAGGTCTACAGGGAAGCAAATGTTTGAAATTATAATTGCAGAACTTAATAATTTGGGTTTAAATTTACAGGTAATAAGATTGCAGGGATATGACAACGGGTCTAATATGCGGGGCGATAAATCAGGAGTGCTATCTAGGATTAAGAACCTAAATTCGCGAGCTTTCTACGTTCCGTGTCACTATCTCAATCTAGTAGTTAACGATAATTTCTTTAATATGATTCAGAAAATATATGTATTTTTTCAGCATCTACTTTTCGCTGGCACTTCTTCTAAAACATGTCCAGGGTTTGACTTTTCGGTCCTTTTTCTTATCGCCCACACAGAGGTTACTACCTCTCACAGTTAAACATGGAATGGAATCAAGTGATCTCTAGAGGCGAGTCTCGCTTCTGCCTGGGGATGCAAGATGGTCGGGCAAGGGTGAATAGGCGACGTAGTGAAATACGTGATCCAGAATTTGACAGGAAGTAGTCAAACCCTATGTGATTCCATACTTTCACACTATGGATAGATACATCAAACCATTGGCCAGCTTAGCTTACATTGCGCCTTTTTTTATATTTTTTTTACGAAAAGTATGTCAACAGTCCACGCATCGTTATTTCATCTCTTAATTTTTTCGTAGATGTCTGATAATTGAAAAAGCTCTCTGGGGCCCAGTACAGAAAAAGAAAACTTGAAAACGAAGAATTAGTACAATAGTATATTGTTTTATTAGGCGTAAAAGTATAACTTTTTGTGGCGAGTCTGAATGTTTGATGGCCGAACGTCAGTGAGGCCGACAATTTCAGACGAGCCACAAAAAGTGCTTTTGCTCCGAATGAAACATGCTATTTTTTCCGCAAACGGCATCCAGACTATATAACTAATTAATATTTAAATAAAAATTCAAAACGATTGCAACGAAGTTGATAAATTCAGAGAATAATAATTATAAAACTGCGCACTACATTTCCGTGGTTACTGGTTTTGTGATTGCCAAGTCAAAAACAAATTTGACAGTTCAATAATATTTTATAATATCAGAAATATTGTAAGTGATTTAAAGCAACAATTGGACTGTGCATTTTTGGTAAGTACTTGAGCATCAAAATTTCGTTTGTTGTAGTAAAGTGTACTGAAATTTTCTTTTAGATTATATTATGTCGGATTCAGAACCCAACTGTACACCGCCCGACGTTGTTGACATTGCTAACGCAGCTACGAATGATTTAATTCCAACTAAGTCAAGTAGAGTTTATAATCATGCTTACGAAAGATTTCTCACATGGTGCAATGATAAAAACATTTCAAACTATTCGGAAAATGTGCTACTAGCTTATTTTTTTGAAATGACAACTAAATTAAAAATGAAGAGTTCAACAATGTGGTCTCAGTATTCCATGATAAAATCATTACTGAATATTAAACATGGATTAGATATTAGCAAATATATGAAACTACGTGCTTATCTGAAGAAGCAGAATGAAGGGTATACTCCCAAAAAGTCAAAGGTATTCACAAAAGACCAGTTTGAAGATTTTTTAAATAATGCACCTAATGAGCAATATCTAGGAATTAAGGTTAGTTAATATTCTAACCTGCATAAATACAATCAAGTTTTTAACATACTACTTTTAGGTTGTTCTAATAATGGGCGTATCTGGAGCATGTAGATGCGATGAAATGGTGAACATGACAATAGACGATATAAAAGATTTAGGATCTGTTATTCATATAAAGATTCCTGATAGTAAATCTAAAAAGCCACGATCGTTCACAATTATTGGAGAAAAATATATAAATCTTTACAGAAAATATACTTCTTTACGTCCACAAGCTATGGAAAGCCGACGCTTTTTTTTGAAATTTCAAAAGGGAAAATGTTATCGCATGGTCATGGGAATTCATACAATTAGTAACGTACCCAAAACAGTAGCAACTTATTTAAAACTACCGAATTCAAAAGATTACACCGGCCATGCGTTAAGAAGAACTTCAGCTACTTTGCTTGTGGATGGAGGAGCTGATATTACTTGTTTGAAACGGCATGGAGGTTGGAGGTCGAGCCCTGTCGCTGAAGGATACATTGAAGACTCTTTGTCTAATAAAAAACAAAATGCAGAAAAATCTTGATGTCGAATTCTTCTTCACTGTACCTGAATGCAGCTTCTCATGAGCGAAATTATGTCGACGTTGATGTAACAGAAGCAACAACAAGTAAGGAGTCACGGGAAATTTAGTCGATGAACTCTTTCAACTCTGCACAAAATTCGCTTGAATTGGAAGTGAATAAATCAGGTAGTGCATTAAATATGTGCGGTGCAACCTTAAATAACTGTAATTTTACTATTAATAATTATTATCGTTAATAAAGTTTAAAAGTTCAACTAATAATTATTTTCCCTGTTAAAAATTCTACTTTTTTGTACGGCCGTCAGCGTACAAAAAAGTACTTTTTTGTCCGCTCACGGCCGTACAAAAAAGTGGCGTCTGTGAAATCATACTTCAACATCATGAATTGACGTTAATAATGTCTACTTTTTTTGACGTTTGCGGAAAAAAACATTTTTACTTCCAGGATTGCATGAGGCGCTATCAAGTGTTCCCGAGATACAATTGTGACGGAGACCGAAATCACAAACCTCAAGGAAGATGTTTTAATTGCAGAAGGATGTTCTGAAACCAGTGAAGCTGTTAGTAAAGACGCCTCAGAAGATCGGGATTCGCTGAAAAAAGTTCTGAAGATATTTTTCATGTTTCTTATGAAGATGATGTTTTAGTGGCAAAGACAATAAGTAAACTTTTTAAAATGAATTGAAACAATTATTGCAAAGTTTATTGATACGATAGCAGATCACATTACTAGAATTAGCAGAAATACATCGAATATGCCTCATTATTTAGGTGTTCATACTCAAAATAAACTTACTTCCCTTTTGGGGTAAAAAATATGAAATATTAGTAAATATTAAAATAATGATAATTTTAGATTGCACCGAGACCAACTTACTGTTGTAGTAAGATTTGTTCTATTAAATATTAAATTAAGGAAATAGAAATTGGGGAGCATTTTTTGGGATTTATTTCAATATCCGGTTCGATAGAACAGGGTTTATTTTATTAACATGTTTAAGTTTCCTATTCCTTTCCTGGTGAGGATAATGCTCATACCTTCACGTGGTCCTCGCTGGGTCACAATAATGTTCCAAATTTGCTAATCCTGTGAGAGAAATAAAATTGTCAGCCACATTGAGCACAAACATAATTTTGCAATTTAATTCTTCAACCAGCCTACTGTTTTTAAAGTGGTTGGTAGTCAGTCCTCCGACAGGTTGTAGTCAGTAACAAGGTTTAAAATTATTTTAAAATCGTTTTTAAAGCACTTCCTATAGATCTATTAAATGGATCGAATGAAATAAAAAAATTAACATAGAAAACATTTATTATTATAAGAAAATATAGTTTGTTAGAGTTACAATTACCTTAAAAAGGTATACATTTAAATATCTAGTAGTAACAAAAATTTACTTACATCTTAAAACCATTATACAATCTGAATTCATGTACAATTCAATAACATTAACAAACATTCAAAAATATCAATATTTCTATAATAACATTTTAAACGGTTTTCGCGCTTTTATTACTTATTGTTTTTCTAAACGTTATGATCCGCGAGACTCCAGGGTAGACCTCAGCGAAAGGGAGCCCTCTACCCAGAAATTGGGCTTTTCCAACATGTCTTTCCATAAGGACAATTCTCTACCTGACGCGTCCATCCAGTCTGCCGGTTTTCCGTGGTGTTTTCCTAAAGCAAAATAAATAAATTAACAATAGAGAAAATTGTACCTGTTTGTTATTGTCAAAACTGGTTTTAACCCAACCACTTTCTTAAAACAAATGGGAAAAGAAACGGGATTTTGGAACAAGTTTTGCAACATTGCCGGCAGTTTAAATTAGAAATTCTTAGATGAGTTTGAAGGAAGTTGATTAAAAAGTGAGAGGCATTACGATAAAATCTATTGGAAATCCACCTGTATTAAAAAAATTAATAAGTTTAATAAGAAGATGATAAATAAGTAGATTAGGTTAGTAAGAAGATTGATAAGATGACTAATAAGAAGGTTAATAAGTAGATTAATAAGAAGGTTAATAAAAAAGTTAATAAGAGGATTAATAAGAAGATTGTTGAATAACAACCAAAAATATTTTACTATGACATTCGGTTTAAAAAACGTACCTGTTCCGAGAGAGAATCTCACGCCTCCCAGGAACTCATTGCTGGCTAATCTATCGTGATCCCACACCGTCAGTTCAAGACATCTTTCAGACAATTCTTGTAACGTTACGTCGTCGTATATGAAGGTGTAATTCCATACGGGGTTGATAGTTCTTCTGGCTACTGGGGTCTTCTGTTTGGAACTTCGACCTTTATCGGGAAGAAGGTAACTGAAAGAAAAAGATAAATATGTTTACAAAAAAATACGAGAAAAGGAGTGGGAATTATGTATTAGACATTTTAACTGTAACTGCGAGATAATTTGAAGAATCCTAATTTTTTATTAATATTTTGACTAAAATTTTACTAAAATTGTGACAATTGTGTTTTGGTGAAACGTTACTGACATAAGGCAACAAATATAACTGTCTTGTATTGTTAGTTGCTATTTGCATCAATTTATTGACAATTAGAATCACGATTGAACAATTGAACATCATTATTAATTATTTATTCTCAGCGACTTTCAAAAAAGTGGGTTTTAACAGAAAAGTCAATTTTGACGTAAAAACGCATCTTTTCTTAGCTAGCTGGCAAAGCAACTAGTCGCGATTCAAATTAATTTTTGCGCGCCTGTGATTCGTCACCTATAAGTAGGATGTTTGTTTATTTACATGTATTTGTTTTGGAAGGATTTTAAATTTGTGATTTTTTAACTGTTTTTAGATAATAGTGTTAAAGAGTTTCTTTTAGTGTTACTTTAAGTTTAGTTCTCGTGCCTTTATCATAAATATAATATTTATCATGTATATGACTTAATTTTTTGGAAATATTCACCTATTGGTTGCTACAAGAACATCTAGAAATATGTATTTACTAAACCCAGGAAATGTTTTATTATGCGGTTTGAAGGACATTTCAAGTACCAAACGTTTATTATTAATGAACTTATTTAAAAATCTTTATTCTTATAATATGAAGTGAATTGTGTAGTACTTTGTATACATGTAAATGGTAATAAAACCGTCACACATCAGATTGCAGTTTGACTCTAAACAAAGTTTTACAAAATTTAAATTTTGTGAATTTGTAGATATCTATTTATCGTAAGAAACAAAATTTTACGACTCACGCTTGGAAAATATTGAATATTTCAGTTTTGAGTTTGACATTAGTACCATATAGCTTGTAATTTGCTGGGGGATTGTTCGCAGATTTCATTTTTAATATAAACACTATCACATACTATAAGAAATCACAACAAATCAACAAATTTATAGCTAAAAAGTAAGAAAAAACTCAAAATATAATTGATACAAATTAAAATATAAACAATGAACACGAACGCCAATGTTGCCAAATGATAAACCGATTTTAAAACAAAATTAATAAATGTATTGAAAATTAAAAAAAAAAATCAATATAATAAATCGGTTTTATAAAAAAATCAATATAATAAATCGGTTTTATAAAAAAATCCATAAATAAATATATAGTATGATTTACATATTACTAGACACAAATTTTGATTTATAAATAAGAGGTCTTATCCACTTCTTCAAGGGCTAAAATCCGAAGACGTAGCGAAATGTCACTACTTCTGGCAACACTGAACGATATTCTACTTATAGGCACCTTCTACAAATTTCCTCCAGAGGGCGTATCACTTAGTTTGAATCGCGAATGGCTAGCCAGTAAAATAATCGCATTAATTTGCCGTCAGAAGATGCACCACTTAATTTTGATAGTTCCTTTCACAATTTATTAAATTATTTTTTGTTGCATTGTATATAAAGAATATAAACTTGTTTATTCTGCTACAGGTTATGTGTTTAGTGATATTTATCTATGATTGATGTAGAGTAGACAAGTTGTAGTCATTTTTTCAAAATAAATTATAAAGATAGGTCACATGCCGCAATACACATTACAATACATGTTGTGTGTGTTGCCTTCAAGTTGTTAAGAATCACCCTATATTTTTTTAGTTGTCATAAATTGTTTTAATGTACCATAAATTAATATCGTTGTCATTCATTTTTTAAAATAAAAAATACGTTCAAAACTCTACGTTTTATTCGATAGCAATAAACATTGGCCCTTCGAGCCGGATATGAGCCAGCGGGCGAAAAACGAAAGCGATAGCCATACGAAGCGAAAAGCCAAAACTCAACAGGGAAAAATAAGAAAAAGGGTCAGTAGTAAGTTTCTCTTGTTAACTCTTTGTCTTCCTTGCATATTTGGATTAAAAAATTTAGAAACTATTTAAATATTTCAAATATTTTTCTTAAGGAGACGTCAAAATGACTGAGATTAGTAGACTCGTTAGAAAACGATCTAACTTAATAGAGCCATTGAAATCGTTCGAAAAATTTGTTAAAGTAGATGATAGTCTAGAGCAAGCAAAACAAATTTGTTCAGAAGTTTTAAGTATTTTATCTAAAGCCAATTTTAACCTATGAAAATAGAAGTCAAATCTTCCAGAAGTACTTCCAACAATTGGTGCCACATGCGATATTTTAGAATTCCATGCTGGCAACAATCAAGCAACTAGTAAAGTACTAGGTCTTTCATGGTCGACCCAAAACGACACAATAATGTACAAAATTAGTAATGTCGATACAACCAAATTAACAAAACGCAATATTTTAGGTAGAATTGCAACGATTTTTGACCCTTTAGGGTTACTCAGTCCCTGTATTATCGTTGCAAAATGTTTATTAAAAAGGCACTGGTTGGAAAAGATAGGTTGAGATGCTACTGTACCAGCTCATATAAAAGAAATTTGGTTAGAGTTTAGTGCGAGTTTAACTATGCTAAATCAACTGAAAATATCACGTCAAGTCACTGGGCAGGATCCAAGTGCAATTGAAATCACATACTTTGATTACTATACGGTGAAAGAGAGAGGTCCGACACGCCGAACATAGGGCGCGGCCATTTTGATGCCTTTATCACAGTTTATAGCTAAATAATCAGTTCGCTCACTCTGCGTCGGCACTTTTGATCTCAATGTTCCAGTTTATACACTGCGCAACTCGGATAATACAATATATGACAACCGCCTAAATTCAAACAGCAGTTTTCTGCGCATCCTGAATTTGTATCCCTGGAGTGGATGTTATTTTGGAATATTCAACTGGTCCGAGTGAGCTAACTGATTCTTTAGCAATAAACTGTGCCTTTACTACTAGGTTAGGCAACATATATATTTCCTAAATGTTAAACTGGTAGTCTACACATCCTGGTATTTAGACAATGGAAAGAGAACAACAAAGCACTAAAAATTAACATACAATCACCAAAATAATCGTGTAAATCACGTCTAAAACACAAAATGATATATAAATCATTTAAACTTGTTCGTTGGGGTTTATGTAAACACAAAGAAAATGGTAAAATCACGGTAAACGGCGAAACGAGCAAAACACTCCATACAACAGTTATAAAAAATAATATTCACTGACACTGACAGCAGCAAGCAAAATATTAAAAATATTGCGCCAAGATGTAGGCAACACGTAATAAGGCATCAAAATGGCGGAGTTTTCTATCTCCTTTTAAAAGGCACTCAGTAAGCTGCGCAGTGCGACCATTCTCCGTATAGTAAAAGAAAATCAAAGTATGTGAATAAACCCAAGTAGTTAATATATAAATCTGGGTATCATTTTCTAAAACATTTGTCATTTTTGTGGTTGGTACCAATGCGGACGTGCTTATTTAAATAAAAATTTCTTTTGAAGAAGCAATATTAATCATTTCGTTTTAAAGTTTTCTGTTGGTTCAAGATACAAAATAGTATGTAAACCACGACGGTAAAGTGGTTTTCCAGGCCTCGCAAAGGGTCCAGGATCGATTTCGCCTCGCTTGTCTATATCTTTACTCGGCCTGAAAAACAGTCACTTTACTGCCTAGGTATACAATATACTATTGTGCAAATTTCAAATGAAAAGAAGTAAGGACCAAAACATTATAACTAGGTTGTAAGTTTAACTAAATTCTATTTTTATAAGTCAACCTGCCCTTCTTTGATATAAACTTTCAATAATAATGTATATTATTGATTTTAAAACCAAAAAAGTTTTCTTTTTATTTGTTTTATTTTCGCAACTAGTGACGTAATGAATTTTTCGAAACCATTATCATAATGTACAACATTATGCAACTGGTTGCGTAAAGTAGATAATTTTGATACTTAATAATAATAATAATAAATGACTTTATTGCTTTTATAAATACAAATTAACAATAATGTAATTACACAAAAAAATATATGTATTAGGTAAGTACCTGAAGAGGCTGCGATTAAAAAAATGTCACTTTATATGTCACATTACAAAAAAAAATATTTTTGTTACAATGGAAAATAAAATCACCAACTTTGTTGGCATTTAAATTAAATTTAAAAATGAATAATCAAATTAAGACGTATATACAGGGTGGCTCACGCTCAACGGGACGGAGCTTTATGGGAAAACGACCAAAGATATAAAAAATTCGTTTGGGAGGAATACGTAGGTTACAGACGGCTACAATTTAAAATTTGTTAGATGTATACAGGATGTCCCACATAAGAGAAAATATACAAAGTTATATTACTTTTAATGGAACACCCTGTTTTTTATTTTAGAATTAAAAACTACATCAAAAATAATGTCAGTTAACTAAAGGTTCCCTACTACTATTATTATTAGTTTTCGATTTATTTGAATTTTTAAGGAAAAAAAGTCTCCCAGAAATTAATTGTTTACTCTTGTTTGAATACTTTTTAATGAACTAATTTTTTCTTATGTGGGACATCCTGTATACATCTAACAAATTTTAAATTGTAGCCGTCTGTAACCTACGTATTCCTCCCAAACGAATTTTTTATATCTTTGGTCGTTGTCCCATAAAGCTCCGTCCCGTTGAGCGTGAGCCACCCTGTATAACGTGAAAAAAAATTACAAGGTGTTGACGTATCTGAGATGTTACACTGACGTCAGTGTGCTATCTGGGTTATTGAATAAAGTTAATCAAACTTAAAAAATAAGTGCAATGATTTAACTTAAGCATATTTTTTTTATTTCTACCAATATTTTAATTAATATTTTGCTCTACAGTGTGGAACAACCAAATGGAATAAATTCGGTAATTAATAAGTGGGGGGGGTGTTCGGAAAAACACTCGGACACGTCGATTGGTATTTCTAGTTGCGTATTTTTTTAACAAAAACTTTTTATACAGGGTGTGTTATGTAACAGTGGTCAATACCAACTTTCTTATTTTAAATGCAACACCCTATATATTTTTAATTTTTGGATTCTTCAGAAAATTCTAGACTATGTCCTATACCTAATTGTTTCGGAAATATTAAATGTTAAACCAGTGTATAAGATAAGTTACCTTTTACAGAAAGGATCTGAAGTTCCATTAGCCTTGATAGCAGTCAAAGATTTCGCTTCTTTGACTAAAACGTGGAGGGCTCCCCTTGATCGCTTGCCCTTCTTTTGAACTGTCATATCGGGAGGAATGAATTTCAAGCAAACTATCACGTCGCCTTTGTAAGTGGGAGCGTCCTCAAACGGCTCAGTCTAAAATATAGAAATTAAAGTTTAAAAGCTGTATACACAGTGTTTCAGGATAAAAATCCCTTATGGATTTTTATCCTGAAGAGCACTGCTAATTAGTTAATTACTGTTTTTTAATCAACAAAATGCAACATCATTTATGAATAGTAATAATATAGTGCGACCATTATGAGAACCCTGAGGCAGCGCTGATAACATACTTTATACTAAGTAGTGTCAGATGAATTAAAACCAGTTTGTTCCTGGATATGTTGCGCCTCTTTCAAGATGTTGAATGTTAATATATTCGTAAGAATAATAAAAGTTTTGTAATACGTATTTAACTTACCCTTTCTTGAAGATTGTACCACTTAGGAGTAGGATCATCGAAGACTTTATTTTCTAAAGTCATCATGACCTCTCCTAAGAAATCGTTTCTGCCGAACATATCGGAATGCCACACAGTCAACCACAGTGTCCTTGTCTCCAAATCGTTCAAGGACATGTGGAATTTGAGGCATTCGTCGAAAACTGGATTCAAGGTGTGTTTTTTCACCTTCGTTTTTCGTTTGCCGCTTTTGGACTTGTCGGGTAACAGATAGACCTATAAAAAACAAAACGGAAATAAAATTATTTTCTTAAAAATGTGAAAAATGGAAGAAATAAAAAAGACGAGATGAAAGAGAAGAGGAAAGTAAATGATTAAACAATAGACAGCAGAGGGATTCCATGTTGACCTTCGCAGTAGGACGAGAAAAGACATTGGAATAAATTTAAGTAAATTGGTGAAAATTTCACCCATCGAGCATAGATACACCAAACTTTTAGCGAAGTGGTAATCAAGTAGTGATTAGAATAGTTATTTCCGCAGTAGTACTAAATATTAGAAAATAAGCAAATTAACCTAAAAGTTGATCAGCCACATGGAGGTGGAGGTAACGAAAAAAGTGTACAGGATGGAATACATAATAACATATCTAAAGTGAAAAAGACAAATACGTATTTAGACAACCTAGAGTATTCTATACATGACTCTGGTCCATACAACGTAATGGTCGAGCACAGTGATTAAAACTTGGGTAACTTGCATCTAGTGGAATTTGGGAAAGTCTTATACAATTCAAAGATTAAAGGTATAAAAAATATAGAAAAGAAAGGAATAAATAGAGTTTGTGTGTCTTTCCGACTTCCAAGTGATGCCAACAACATCAAAAAAAGCGAAGAGATTGTAAAAATGGGGTACAAAACCTTCATACCAGTAACCTTAATATCCTGTAAGGGAGTAGTGAAAGGAGTGGGTAGTAATATGATTAAAAAAGAAGTGATAGATAGAGCCAATGAGGAATCAGGGGGATTGTATAAAGTTGTAGAAGTACGCCGCTTAAACAGAAGGGTACAAGGTAAAGAATCTCTAGAAATAAAATATATCCCAACAGGGTCCTATATATTTACCTTCATAGGAAAAACTTCCCAAGGTATGTGGCCATATATAATAACAGACTAACGGTAGCCACGTATATAAGGCCAATTACTTTATGCTCTAAGTTTTATAGATTTAACCATACAGTCAAACAATGTAATAGCATAGCAAGATGTGAAAAGTGTGGAAAAGAGGAGCACAAAAAAGACAAATGTACTGAATATAATAATAAAATATAACTTTATTGTAGGAAAAACATCTAGTTTCCGAACAACTAAAAAATATAGAAGAATGTGAAGAGCTATCAAGACAAAGAAGAATAAACGAGATAATAACTATCCAAAATTTACCATACTCTGACACCGCCAAACAATTACCTAGAAAAAATGCTGATGAAGTGAAAGACAATCCTGAAATTGACAGAAATAGAAGAAACTTCCAGGCCTTACCAAACAAAACTCCCGATAATGAAATAATCACGGTGAATCAGAGAAGACTATTTATAATAATACAACGCCCATAAAAACATATAGAGAGGTTACCAAAAATAAAAGAAAATGTCCGAGTAGTCCTGCATACTATGGTGTGGCCCATCAGGAATGCCTGATGGGTGCCCCTTTGTACCCATTGTCACCAATAGTTAACGTTAGGTCAGTTAATGCAAACGGTTCACCAAAATCAAACACAGGTAATAGTAGTTCTAGTCAAATAAATGTTATTGATATTAATGAGCTAGATCTACATGAATACCTATCAGATTTAAGTATACCCTAGATGCTCTGTTAACAATGTCTCAAACGATAAATGGTATCTTACAAAAAAGAGGAATTTTCCCATCACTAAATGCGAACGAACAAAACGAATTAAATATAAGTAACAACCCTCATTTGGAGGAAAAAGACACCATTGCGGAGACCAAACCAATAATGGCGGTGGAGGAAGAATGGTAAAGCAAAATATAAGTAGTTCAAGTAAGGTTGTATATGTTTCTTTTTTCTTAAATAACAAAATTCATTATTTTGCAGTGTTATATAAGAAGTGTAAGGTCTAACAATATAAACCTTGAATATTTAATTAATAAGAGGAACCAAACGTTATTTTGTTACAAGAAACATATTTAAAGAACACCATGACATGGAACATTAAAGAATATAATATATTTCGGAAAGATATTACAGAAGGACACAATGGAATAGCAATTTTGGTTAACAAAGTTAAAAAGACAACAGGAACGAAAGTAACGGTAACATTTTGGTAGATACTATACTAGATGCGGGTTTTAACTATTTAAATGATGGTAGAGCAACAAGAATAAGCATGCCGGGTCAAAACAGAAGTGTCACAGACATATCCTTTTGTACCACTAGGTTAGGGGTATTGGGGAATGGGACATACACCCGTTAGACAAAGGGGACAGTGATCATTTTTCTAGTATGTTGAAATTTAGTATCAGTACAAAAAGCGTATACAATAATATTAAAAATTATGAAATTCAGCGAAAAAAATACAATACCAAAAAAATCAATTGGAACGAATATTTTATAGCGTGTCAACAAATTGATTCTCAAACTAAAAGTAAGGGAAATGAGTACATTATGGGTATAATTAAACAAGCTTATGACATTGTAGTTCCGACAAAATATTATAAGCATGAAGAGAAAAAAAAAATAATAGTAAAAAGAGGACAATTAATAAATTGTGGGATAGGAATTGTGAGAAAATGTTGGGGGAAAAGAAAAGCAGCAATTCAAACTTATATAAGGGACAGTAGCAATAGTAATTATATTAACATGAAACAAAAGGTAGCACAAACCAAAAAAATATTAAAAAAAAAAAGAATAGTTTTATCAAATTTTGCTCTACACTCAATAGAGACAGTAACTTGTCATATGTATTGAAAATGATGAAAGGGTTTGGAAGAAACAAGAACACCAAAGGAAAAACTGAATTCATTAGAAATAATTTAGATAACTTCTTAGAGATAGTTACCCCGCCGGAAATTCCAATAGAAATGGACACCATAATGTTAAAAGAAACAGGATGGGATAAATTCACAGCTAATGAGCTTAATGTGGTGTTAAATGCAGAAAAAGGGATACAATGCCGAGTGTGGATGCTATAGTATATTCTTTGATAAGGGGATTACCGTTTGGTATTAAAGTCAATTTAGTTAGGGTGTTTAATGAGTTTTTAGCCGACAAGGAACTCCCTAAAGAGTGGAACACTCAAATAATATGTCCCTTCCTAAAACTTACAATTACATAGTTATAGATTCATTGCGCTACAGCCGTGTGTCCTAAAAATCGTGGAGAATCTAATTAAAAATAGGATAGAACATAAACTAGAATCGGAACAGATCTTACCTAAGAAGCAGTTAAGGTTTTGAAAGGGTAGGGAAATCATGGACAATTTAGTATATTTACAATCTATAATATTTCAGGCCTTTCAAAAGAATAAAAAAGTAATGGCAGTATTTCTAGATGTTAGGGCAGCATACGATAATGTAAGCATCCCAATTTTAATGAATAAACTCGCAAAGATTAACATTCCACAACCCTTTATAGAATTTCTTAGGAAAATATTCACCAATAGGAAAGTGATCATCAGGGATAATATAACAGGGTCACATTCCAAAATCAGGACACACTAGTAAAGGCATTCCACAAGGATCAATACTTAGTCCTATTTTATATGCAGTATACACCAATGATATATACAATCAAACAGTGGGAAGGGTAGATTTACTGAGTTTCGCGGACGATATGATGGTACTAGCGGAAGAGATATGTCGGGGCATCAACGAAACATTAGACAACACAAGGAACTGGTTAGGGGTACATGACCTTGATATTTCAGGTCAAAAGTCTAAAATTTACCTAGTATTGAATATAATCTTGAAACCATACCATATGTTCCTACAGTTAAGTATTTAGGGGTTATGTTAGATGAAAAAATGAAGTTAAATGTCATGAAATCAGTTGCAAATTATTGGTGGCAGACTCAAAAATGTTGTCTATGATTTATAAAAGTATAGTTAGGTCGCACCTGGATTGTGGTACAATGTTAATTTTTAATACAGCAAAAAGGAACATATACAAACTCGATAAAGTACAATTTAAGGCATTGATGGTTATTTTAGGAGCGATGAGGAGTACCCCCACGGTCTCCTTGTTAGCTGAGACTTGCGAACTACTATTACAGCGAAGGAGAATTTGTTTAGCTGAAAAATTTATTATTAAACATATTTCTCAGAATAGAAGCATTATTATGGAAAAATTATTAAGTATCTACAGTCTTCAACACTAAATCATCTGCACTACGAACTTTCCAGTACTGGAAGGACATATCACAACAAAATTAGAAAGTATGATATTCTACCATGTTTTGTATTACGGGTAGAGAGGGTGGTTCACAGAGGTATCTTGGGTCGATTTGGGGTTACAAAAAAAGAATTCAAATAATCAGAAGGAATTCACGGAAATAAAGAGAAATGGAACAAATATCATGTAGTCTTCACAGACGGATCTAAAGACAAGCAAGCCGAAAGAACAGGTTTTGGGGTTTACTGCGAAAATGAGGGGGCGAAAATGAGGGGACGAAAATTAGCGTAAGAATAGCGGACGAGGCTAGCATCTGTACAGTAGAAGTATTGGCAATACTAGTGGAAGTCAAAAAAAAAAAAACCAATTGAAATAGGTAGTGCCAATACTCTTATATTAACTGATTTAACAGAAAATAGCTAGAATGGGTTTACATGGACAGTCAGAGTATCCAGATTCATTGATAGAAGCTAAAGCAAATAATTTAAACATCAAATTGGGATGGATATCGAGTCAAACGAATATTTTAGGGAACAATGAAGCAGATAGTTTAGCAAAACAAAATCTGACTAAAAACAATATTAACTTCAGGATGGTAGATTACAGAGAGATATTAGCTAAAATAAAGGCAAAGAATAGAAAAGAATGGGAAGAAGAACGGAGAGAATTATGTAAAATTAAAGGAAGGCATTACCACGGTATAGTGGGAAAGTTACCCCATAGTTATGTATGCATGTAAAACTTTAATGAGATCAAAGTAAGCAGAAAGACAGATGCGACATTAAATTGGCTTAGGTTAGGCCACCGTACTACTCCAGAACACCTCCATCGAATAGGAGTCTAAGACTCTTCAAATTTTAGTTG